CTAGTTTGAGTGATCTTCTACCTTAGTGTCTTTGTAAAAAGTATAGAGCTTGGCTTGGGCTACATTTCCATCAGAAAATCTTGGGTTTTAGAGTATTTCGAAATTCTTCATCTTCTCCATTTGGTCTCATCTTTTGAGGTAGGGATAACTACTCATACTTATGGTCTTTGACATAAACCTTTAATCATTTTGATATAATGTTGAAGTTGGGTAATTTCGGGTGTTAGGGTTTCAATTATGTAAAGAGGGGCTTTGTTCTTTGAGCCAATACATGTGTATTTTGGGTCACAAATGAGGTTATTGTTGTTTGTTGTTGATATTTGAGCCTTTTGGTCAATGTTGAGAAGGAGGGAGAAAAGCCCTAATTTTTGTTATGAATTAATTTACATAATTAATTTGGGAATGTTATGGGAATATGAAATTAAGTTGGAAATGATGAAATTAGCTTAATATGAGTTGGAATGGTGGAGTCGGATTTATTACTCGCTCATTTTTGAAATTGTTGATAAATTATCTGTTGATGTATTTATTATCTGTTTAGAAATAATTACTTTGGGCTATCAGTGGAGGATAGTCTTGATTGTTGTAGACACTGTATGTTGATTAGGGAAAACTGAAACTAATCACGTTGAATATGTCATTGAATATGACGATTGGAATAATACATCGAATATATGTATTAGTTGATTATTGTATATGATAAGTGTTTATATACATTGTATTGTGTGGGAAGAGATAGGGGATGTACTCCACGGTTTGGGAGGAGATAGGGGATGGACTCCATTGATACAGAATCTGTGTATCATTTGTGAAGTATGGAAGTGTTTTGATATGAGTTGTTATTTCATTTAAAAAATAAGTGCTTTAATATGAGCCGTAATCTCATTAAATTGTTGGTCAGGTTCTGAGCCATGTTATGAATTGAAAAGTTGATAAGTAAAAGAAAAAGGGGGAATGAAACATGGACATTTTTGTCATGGAATTGGATTGTGTTGTACGTTGGTTTGTATGAGTCAAACATTTATCAAATGCTGACGTTTTAGTTATTGCTCATATTATGTTTAGCATATCTCTACTGGGCGTTGGCTTACCCTGTATGGGACATCATTTTCAGGTACAGGTGATATGCCGCCTCCAAGGATGTAGCTTGGGAGGGTAATTATTTTTGGGTATTACATGTATATCAAGCCAAGGGCTTATTTTGTGAAAAGAGTTATAACTCTATTTTGTTGAACCCAAGTGTTGACTTGGAAAGTTGTAAGCCTGTAGGGCATTTACTTTTGTTGTCAACATGTAATATTTTTTGTAAGAATACTCTGATATTGGTAATATGATATCTCTTTTTGTATCATGGATGTATGATTATGGGTTTATTTTGAAGGCGTTGCATTTGTTCACATTCCAAATTATGAGAGATCCAAGCTTGATAGTAAGTCAAGATAATGCATTTTTCTTGGCTATGGGCATGATGAATTCAGGTATAGATTGTGAGATCCGGTCGACAAGAAAGTCATTCGAAGCCCTGATGTTGTGTTTCTTGAAGACCAAATAATTGAAGACTTTGGCAAAGGTGATCAACCGGAGCCAAAAACTAGTAATCTCATTGACATGGATCCATCTCCTTCATCTTCGGTGGATGATAAAAATGGGGGAGATATGCAGCCACCTATTGAAGATGTAGAGGATGATGCTAATCCTAATGAAGTTGAGTCAGAAATTGAGGAAGAGCATCCAACTCAAGAGCCGCCACCACAACTTGAGTTGAGGAAATCTACAAGGGACCGACAACCTTCAAGAAAGTATCCTCCCAATGAATTTGTGTTGATTTCTGATCAAGGGGAGCCTGAGAGCTACCAAAAAGCAATTGAGCATGCAAAGAAAGATGATTGGAAAAAGGCACTGGAAGAGGAGATGAATTTCTTACTTGAAAATCACACTTATGATTTAGTGAAGTTGCCTAAAGGGAGGAAAATTTTGAAAAATTAGTGGGTTTTCAAATTGAAGAATGATAGCAAGAATCTGAGGTACAAAGCACGTTTTGTTGTGGAAGGCTTTGGGCAAAAGAAAGGTATTGACTTTGATGAGATTTTCTCGCCGGTTGTGAAGATGTCTTCTATTCGGGTTGTACTTGGCATAGCTACAAGTATGAACCTTGAAGTTGAACAACTTGATGTGAAGACTGCATTTCTTCATGGTGACCTTGAAGAAGAAATTTACATGAAGCAACTGGAAGGTTTTGTGGAGAAAGGAATGTAAAACCCAAGTTGTGTGTAGGATTATTTTATTGGATAGATTAGTAATTAAATTAACTTATATGAGTCATTTATTAATATCAAAGAATTAGTTATGAGATGGCATTATATTTCCTATTACTTAGATGGGTAATTTTGTAACTTTGAGAAATTAGGTTAATAAGTTGGAGTTGAGCAAGTCTTTTGCTATGAAAGATTTGGGACCGGCAAAGCAAATTCTTGGTATGAAAATTGTTCGTGATCGCAAAGAGGGGCTGATTTGGTTGTCTCAAGAAAGCTACATCGAGAAAGTTCTTGAGAGGTTCAACATGGATAAAGCAAAGCCGGTTGGTTGTCCACTTGCGGGTCACTTCAAGCTTAGTTTGAATCAATGTTCTACAAGTGAGAAAGACAAAGAAGAGATGTTGAAAGTTCCTTATGCTTCAGCAGTTAGTTCTTTGATGTAGGCCATGGTTTATACAAGGCCGGATATTGCTCACGCCGTTGGTGTGGTGAGTCGGTTTCTCTCTAATCCGAGTAAAGAACATTAGGCAGTAGTAAAATGGATTCTAAGATATCTTCGAGGGACTTCGAAGGTGTGTTTGTGTTTTGGGGATAGTAAGCCGATGCTTGATGGGTTCACAGATTCTGACATGGCCGGTGATATTGATTCTAGGAAATCTACTTCGGGGTATTTGATAACTTTTGCAGGGGGAGCTGTGGCATGGCAATCTAAATTACAAAAATGTGTTGCTCTCTCAACTACCGAAGCTGAATTTATTGCTATTACAGAAGCTTGCAAAGAAGTGTTATGGTTGAAGGAATTTTTGCAAGAGTTGGGTTTGAAACAAGAAAGGTATGTGCTTTATTGTGATAGTTAAAGTGCTATTCACTTGAGTAAAAATGTTACTTTTCATTTGAGATCGAAACACATTGATGTGAGATACCATTGGATTCGTGATGTGTTAGATTCGAAATTGTTACAACTCGAAAAGGTTCACACGGATGATAATATTTCGGATATGTTGACTAAGACTTTGTCAAGAAACAAACATTTAAAGTGTTGAACTTTGGCGGGTATGATTGATGTCTCCACCTAAGTCGGTAGGGGGAGAATTGTTGGGATATACCTCCTTATTGGAGTGTAGGCCCCAATTGGTTTATTAAAAGAGTTTAATTTGGTTTGGTATTAGTTATAATATATTTTTATATATTATATCTAATTTAGTGGAGACCCAATTCAGTTTGGAAACAACTAAGGTTTTGATAAAAAAATCCTAGATTTATAATATATTATTGGTATTGTTTTTCCCAAGAAAAAAGGTAGCCGTTTTTGCTTGGTGGAGGAGCAGCCGTGATGATCAATTCAGTGAGTTGATTATGCTTGGTTTGTGGATGTTATTGCTCTTGATTTGAAGTTGATTTGGGTTATTATTTTGGGTCTTCTTCAACTCTGGTTTCGAAGATTTTGATTCATCTATTTGGTGAGGTTTTTCCTCTTGTTTATTTGTGATTATTTGGAATTCACCTAAAGGTGGTTTGTGAGACCATTCGTGTCTCGTTTGTAATTGTTTGGAAACTATTTGGCTGATAGTGAAATCGGATTTCGATCCCGTGGACGTACCTCATATTGAGGGAACCACGCAAAAATTAATGTATTGCTTTTGATTTAATTTTTCTGCATTAATTTTTATTCCTATTGATTGATTTACTTATGGGAAACATATTTTTTTCCTAACACCTTCTTTGTCTCATCTCTTCATACCTCTCTTTCGCTTAGGCTCTTTTCCTTTGTGAATACCCCTAACCTCTCATTTCCTTCTTGTTGTCTGGAGCACCTCTTTGCCACCACTATGCACCACTCCAATCCCTTTTCCCTCCACCACCTCAGTATTCCTAGTCACGCCACCACCCTCACTTAAAAGATAATGAGAACAACACCATTGTAGGTTGTTACCAATCACCACTACATAGTTTGATGTATAAGTGGCTTCACAACAATTTAAAACACATAATGAAGTTATTTGATGTAATTTATTTAAATTACTTATAATTTTTATTCTGAAAATCTAGAGAAAAATTATACATCTTTGATTATGTCTCATATGGTTTGGTTATATATATATATATATTTTATAGTTATGACTTAAAATATATAGAGTTATGTCATTTTTTTCTTTAATTATAAGGACATCTCTAATGTTTACTAATTTATTTCATCAAATTTGAGTAAAAATTTCATCAGATATCGTGTACGCTCCAATTAAGGATTTTGATCTTTCATCAAATCACTGGTCGACCGGATAGACAACCCGGCGAATATCCAACCGGTCGATCGATTAGTGTAAATTATGAAGAAATGAATGTCCGAGGGACAACCGGCCAGTCGCCCAGTACTCCTACACTAATAGCTGTCTATAGTAATTTGATGAAAGGTTTAAGGCATCCTCAATCTGATGAAAAATTTTAGACATCCTCAATTTTATATCAAATTAATGACAATATTGGAGCAAGATTCTGATTAATTTTTTATCAAATTTAAATTTAATGAAAAAAAGTAAAACATTAGAGATGGTCTAAGGTGCATACGAAACACACTCACACCATAGTCTTTCCAAAATCTATATCATATTATTTTACATAATTTTTTCTTATCATTTATTAGACAAATAATTAAAATTAGTTTTAAAAAAAAAGTAAAAAAGATATGCATAAGAGAAAAAATGAAATAAAAGAAGAGGATACCTATAAAAAAAATAAAAAAATGGATACTCTTAAAAGTTGTGGATGAAAATATGAGGAGAAACAGGTGTGATGGATGGGTGGGTGGATGATTGGTGGTCCGAATGTAATGGATGTTGTTATAACAGTCTCAAACCGCCAAAAACTGTAAAGAGCCAAGCAAAGCAAAATCAATGGCGTGTCTTCAGTCCGTATGGTGTTTGCATTCTTTACCTTCCACAGCAGCAGCTCCTCTTCCTCATCGTGAGTCTCCCAAAACTCCCCCAATAACCCTAAACCTAATTGTTGGTACATAAACTAGTGTTCAATGCTTTAGAGATATTGTTGTTGTTGTTGTTTGTGTTTCATTTGTTTCAATTTCTTCAGCTCTTCGTCTCTTCAGTAAGTCCAAAAGGCTGCAAGTTATCTCTTGCGGGAACAACCATGACCTCCATCAAAATCCATGGTTTATCTCATTCAAATTTACTCCTTTGTTTCTGTCTTCTTATTTATAATTATAATTATTTGGCCATCTTTTTTATCACCGAACATAGAGTTTTGCTTTTGGTTTTTCAATAATTACAGTATTGGAGTTGAGTATCAATCAGGAACTCAAAGGAGACAAGTATTGTTCCAGACAGTCCTTGCTGCATTTTCTTTTCCTCCAATTCTTTCCCTTGCATTGGCAGACAGCGGTAATCATCTCTCTCTCTCTCTCTGCTTGTGTGTGTGGTTGGTGGTGGGGCACAATATAGATGAACATGGAATTGTTCTGTTTTTTAGGCTGCGTTTGTATCATTGATTTGTGTAGGGATTTGGAAATGTAATACAGCTTTAATGTATGTTTGCAGTTGAACTTGATTTCTTCTTGTTCAATATATATGAGTTTCAGATACACCAGGGGATTTCCGCCTTTACGCTGATGAAGCGAACAAGTTCAAAATAATGATTCCCCAAGGTGAAACCCTCAAGCCTTTTCTAACAATTTTTCCTTCATCAAATTTTCTGCACCAGTCATTGATTTCAAAAACATAATTGCTTGGGCAAACTTATTACCAATTTTATTTATTTATATCATCGCATGCTTTCATTATCATGGATATTCAATAGTATGCCATCCTGTTGAATTCAAGTGTACACAACTCCCAAAAAGGAATTGTTTCATTCCGAAACAGATCAGCACATTTAATCTTTTGCCAGTAGTATCAGAGGACTTCACTAATTTAAACCTCAGACGCATAATTTGAGAGTCAAGGAGTAGATTCTCTGATTTAGTTGTTCCCTCTATTGCTTTTAAGATGTTTCCATACATGCTTTTATTGTCTTGCCTAACATAATACATGTATGACGGTAACAGTCGGTCCATTGTCATGTAGATTGGCAAGTGGGTGCAGGAGATAATAATGGAGTCAAATCAGTAACTGGATTTTTCCCCGATGAACCTTCTAGTTCAAATGGTATATATGGGTTTCTGGTGATCCGTCCATCCCTTAATTATTTGATTTCTGAATATTAAAAATTGCTTGATGGGATGCTTCAGTCACCGTAGTAATCACGGGCCTTGGTGCCGATTTTACCAGATTGGAATCTTTTGGTAAAGTTGATGCTTTTGCAGAGAATCTGGTGAGTAATTTGTTCTTTTAACTAGCAAGGTAGGATAAAAAGACATCCGGCAACTTTCCAGTGCAGAAGCTTACTCAGATTATGTGCTTATTTTATGCGTTATAACTGTCTTCATCAGGTTAGCGGACTGGACAGAAGCTGGCAAAGACCACCGGGTGTGAGAGCAAAACTCATAGACTCTAAAACTGCTAATGGTACTTGCATCTTCTTCCATATGCATTCCAGTAATGTAACTATGTTAATAATGATGGTCCAGCCTAGGAGAAGCTGTTACAAGCTTGAAGAATTTCTTATTTAAGAATATAGATTCTTATGTATACATGCACACAAATATTTATAATTTTTTTTATTGGCTAGGTTTGTATTACATTGAATATACACTGCAAAATCCTGGCCAAAGTTGCAGACATTTGATTTCAGTGCTTGGGATAGCGAACAATGGTTGGTATAACAGACTATATACCGTCACTGGACAGGTAAGTGTGGCCAAAAGAAATGTGCATAGACAATTTTCTTTCTTTCAAGACTAATAGTTTTTGTATATGCATGAGTGTGCAGTTGGTGCTTGACCTAAGTTTCATCCTAAAATATAATTTTTGCTGCAGTTTGTTGATGAGGATTCAGAAAAATATGGCTCCAAAATTGAGAAGGTGAGCTTTAAGAAATTCAGTATTGATGATACTTTTTGCATCTCAAATTGCAGGACGAAGCTCTTATGCCTAAATTTTCAGTCTTTCTTTTGGACTTTAGTATATTTTCAGGAAATGTATACAGACCCAGATTAATCCACCCAGAAAATTCTGGGGGGTGATTGTGTGGTGGAGATTAATTTATGTAGTGCGGGGTCCATATGTAGAATAAATCTGAACAACAAGATAAAGATTCTGGTAATTTATGGGTTGATAAGGGTGGATTTGTAGTATTACTCATATTTTTGTACATTGCCATATTGGGTCCCAATTTTGGCTTAATGTTAATAAAAAATCTATTCAGAGAAGTTTGAAGGAAAAAAAAAAAGGCACAGAATTTATGGTTCTCTGTAGTCTAGCATTGATGCTAGACTAGTTCAAGCAGTTAATGTAAGCAAGATACTTGTGCAGAAAGGATATGCCCCTGATAGCAGGCACATACTTGATTGAGTTCTCATATTATAACCATCCCCTATGCTATATTTGACAAACTTAGATCTCTGACGAGCACTCTTCGTTGCCAAATGTGGTATATAAACATGGTTGTTGTAGCATTGCTCAATTATATATTACCTTGTTATGTGATTCCTGATTTTGGGGTTCACCAGAATCCCAAATTGGAGTGCCCTTAGAAAAGATGGTCCATCTGATGGATTTTTCCATTTATTGGGTTTAATTATTTTTGTGGACAATTGAGTCCTTCCTTTCTGTATAGTTCTCAAATCGAGTTGTTGTCTAGGGTACTTCTTACTGCTGAGAATTGAATTCGTGGAACTGGTCAAAGTTTATGCTCAGAGGTTTTATCGTTTTTTTGGTCTTTGCAGGCTGTTTCATCGTTCAGATTAAACTGAGATTCTGAGGTAATAATATATGGTTTGGAGTCCTTATTCACTAACTTGGCAAGTGGAACTGGTATGCTGATCATTGCTTGAATATGTACGACTTCAGTTAAGTGATTCATTGATTTCACTGCTATGGTGGCCAGGATCCTTTCCATTTTTGCTTTCAACATCGGCTCTCATCGCTGCAACATGTCCAATTGAAGTCAAGTTTACTAAAGGAAGCAAAGCATTGAATGATGTTTGCATCCTGGCCGAGGATTTCCATGCACCTGGAGCCAGCTGTTTGGAAGACACCAAGAGGCGGCTAGATTGTGGCATATTTACTCTCTGTTTTACTTTTGTTATTCCTAGCCTTTCTTGCAACTCTTCTTGAAGTACGCTGGAACCTTTATTATCTATTTGACTAGGAAATTTATTCTTAATACCACCAGAAAGAGATAGACAAAAACTACCTTGGTGATTGCATTGAATTAACATAAAGTGCCCAAAAATATTTTGCTAAAATTGGCCATGATTTTTTTACTGCTTTTGACACTATTATCATATCAAAATTTAACTTCATCATCATTGCCATTTAAGCGCGTGAAGATGCTCTCAACGGTATGAAAGGTAAATATTAAAGTAGCTCAGCCCAGATCAGATCATGAAAGGTGGCTGGCAAAAAGCTAATTGCACACAAATTTGAATAAAATTGGGGCAGATGGCCAAATACATTAAAAAAAAAAAACCATTATGATGTCTCTAAAGTCCATTCAAGCCTCTTTCTTTATTTCCTTTTATCTTTATATTTTATCCATTTGTTCTACCAAACTTGTTTGTTTGTTGTATTTTCTTTCCTCAATATGTTAACAATAGCCCTACTGCATTTTAATAATTTTATGGCATGTTTGATTAGGTGGATTAGAGCATGGGATTGAGATTATTAATTCGTGGGTCCAATTATCCTATGTTTGTTTTAACATTTTGGTTTAGAATTATTAATTCAATGGATAATTAATCCAACAAATTTGTAGGATTATTAGTAATGGGATAAGGGTAATCTAATTGATATTAATCCAATTAGATAGTGAATACCATACTAATTTAATGGGATTATTAATACTTCACTATTAGTCTTGTGAATCAAACATAACCTTAATGCATTATTTTCACATAAAAGATCCAGTGGTAGAATATTTTTTTGTTCTAATTTAAAAAAAAAAATCAAAAAAGAAATAAATAATTAAATGGTCTAAAAAAGATAGTGGCTAGAGAATCATTCCCCACTTTTTTTTATTTTATTTTTTGTTCAGAGATTAATTCTAGTGACTTCAACCCGCACCACAAGACCGGGTGGTATGCAGTTCCAAAAATATTTTGCTAAAATTGGCCATGATTTTTTTACTGCTTTTGACACTATTATCATATCAAAATTTAACTTCATCATCATTGCCATTTAAGCGCGTGAAGATGCTCTCAACGGTATGAAAGGTAAATATTAAAGTAGCTCAGCCCAGATCAGATCATGAAAGGTGGCTGGCAAAAAGCTAATTGCACACAAATTTGAATAAAATTGGGGCAGATGGCCAAATACATTAAAAAAAAAAAAAAAAACCATTATGATGTCTCTAAAGTCCATTCAAGCCTCTTTCTTTTTTTCCTTTTTTTTTTATATTTTATCCATTTGTTCTACCAAGCTTGTTTGTTTGTTGTATTTTCCTTCTTCAATATGTTAACAATAGCCCTACTACATTTTAATAATTTTAATGCATTATTTTCACATAAAAGATCCAGTGGTAGAATATTTTTTTGTTCTAATTTAAAAAAAAAAAATCAAAAAAGAAATAAATAATTAAATGGTCTAAAAAAGATAGTGGTTAGAGAATCATTCCCCACTTTTTTTTATTTTATTTTTTGTTCGGAGATTAATTCTAATGACTTCAACCCGCACCACAAGACCGGGTGGTATGCACTTAAATGTATGGTTTTAAAATATGCTATGTAGTTGTATTCTTTAATTTTAGTGGTAGGACAATGAAAGAAATAGGGTTAGCGGGTCGATTCTTCTTGGCATGCTATGGGATAATAAGCATACCATTTTCTCAACAATCTTTTTATGCCATGGCCCCATAAAAATAAAATAAAATAAAACTACTTTACACACAGAAAAGAAGATCTTTGTATTATAGATAAGAGCTGGAGCTTCACCCATGCTTTGAGGTCAGGCTCTCAAAATAATTCAGATTACATAATTGAGTTTCCACTTTCCAAATGAAACCCCAACTACTGCTATGCACAAGACTGACTCGGAAGGAATGAACTGACATTTAAATACAATGCAGGATGGACTCAACAACAGACACCAGAGAATATCTACATGCCCAAAATGCTGGGACAGGACTATGAGAAAAGAATCATATTTTGATTCTAATAACAAGATGTTTACAGAGTTTATTGTTCCTGTAAATGGCTATAATGGTAGCCAGAAACCCATTCCAGCATACCCATCAATCCAATGACCAACTCTTCCTACCAGTCATTTGAAGCACTGGCAGTTACACAAGGGATTTAGATGCACAACAGTGAAGGAAGAACAGCAGTCCGCATCTTCCTATGTTCCCTTCTCCACCATCTGGAGCAGAGCGACTCAGACATAAAAATGACTTCTCTGGTGAGCATGATGACTATGTATAACCTGCATAACATCAATCAATCATCATTAAGTATGAGAAGAACAATTTTTTACAACCGTATACGAGATCCCCATTGAATGGTGATCCCTAACATGGTCCAAGGAAGATTTCTTGTATCATTTGCTAGCTTTGCAAACAGGGCATATTCCAATGCAATCAAAAAAACCTTTTCGCCTTAATATCAAAAATCAATTAAATCTCTTCTCTATTTAAGTCTTAACTTTTTTGCTTTTATTAGGCATAATTTTAAGACCATGACGCAGACCTAAAATAAAAATTCAACTTCAAAGAGCCAAAAAGTGAAGTCTCCGTGATTATTATGTTTTGTTTTTCCAGTTTTCTGCTCGGAATATGTTATGTTTATGCCCAACTTTTTATGTAAATTAGGCCATTCCCATTTGTATATGTACACACCACCATCTTGCTCATGATCATATTTCTAATGATTAAAGCACTTGCATTCCTAAAATTACTTCATGAATTAATTAGTTGATGGCTTCATACAACCCTATACTTTTTTCATTCCCCTCCAGGGATGGGAGGCTTATTTGGTTGATGGTTGCACATGGCTCTTTGTTTTCTTCTCCTGGTGTGTGATTAAAAGTTCACTTTTGTATTCCCCCTCTAAATTGACAAAATTTATTCTCTCATGTTATACTTACGTCCAATGTGCAATAGGCAGGATGTGAATTGCATACCTCTAGAATGCGAAATGATAATTTGCAAGGCTAGATTCAACTCCCGCCACTCAAGTAGCAGTACCGATGCTCTTAGTCCTGCTGCAATCTAAGGATACCTGCAAATGACATTAAAACAAAAATATCCATCCAGAAATCATACAGGTGGAAAGCACAAGCAAAACAATATAGAGAATTTAATCCCCAGAATTGAGTGTTACCAAAGGGTCTCACCTTGATTAAACCCTCACCCTGCTGTTTGGTCAGAACCGCTACCTTGCATGAACTGAGGAGAATGAGCAGGAACTATAAACTGTGGTTGGACTGGAACAGGTGCAGCCATACCTGAAAGCAGGAGCACATGCCTCGTTAATTTTTCCAACACAATGCTCATATAAATATATCATTTGAAAGAGATCTCAATTGTCTCTCCATTCATCCTTTTCATTCTTTGTCAACTATATCTGTCTATATGTGCTAAAAAGGTGTCAACAATTTGCACCATTATGAATTTATACCAGTTCTACAAAAACAGATGTTATTTAAATAGAAATATAAATGTGTAGAGATGTATGAGTATGGTTCATGTGTCATAAAGGAACAAGAAACAGCTTCAAAAATATCTTTGCCTGTAGGATATTGTGCATGAATTGTGGGAATAGGCGAAGTTGTTATTGCATTGACACTGGGCCCACCAAATTGCACAATCTGATGACCTGGCATTGTATAGCCCTGCATCGTATTATAACCTTGACCACCAGGAATAGTCTGACCCAATTGGCTATAAGGGTACATAGCTGGGTTAACTGTTCCAGGTACACCATATAAATGAAGGTACTGTTGCCCCACATATGGGTTGTAAACACCCTAAAAGAAAGATGCCAACAAACACATCAGGAGCAAGTTGGCATTATAAGAATAAAAAAGTATGCATGCTTTCTTGCCCTAATAAAAGATTAAACTTCAAATGCCATTTTGGGACAGTATTAACCTGCGGGTAGACGTATTCAGGACCATATGCTGTATACCTGCACAAACAAAAAACATTGCATGCTTTGAAAAAAACTAACATCTCAATGTAGCAGCAGTATGTATCTTGGAGACATGATATTGCATGAAAACAAACACCACATGAGACTCATAAGTCATCAGTGTAAGAACCAGGGGGTTCTAGTAAATCTTAATGAACCATACTAGGTCTAGCAATAGCATGAAAGATAATTCAAGAGGATAATGAGCTGAAAACCCCAAATCTGATGGGGGTTTCCTTTCCTTCATTCTCTAGAGTTCTCCTATTAGCAATATTATGTATAGAAAAAAAGGATACATTGTCCGCACTGTGGGTGATGCTAGTGGATGTGGGACACCAAATTTAACTAGGTTGGGATATTAAAGAAAATTGAGATGATGACCCTCGACTGAACAGAATGACAAAATAATATTCATGTAGCTGACACCAAGCAGTTGGGAAAAATGATTAGTTGAGTGAGTTGGGTCATGTTTAGCAAAGAAAGGTAAACCCAGAGTGATGGTGAGCATGACAGCCCAATTGATAGAATATTCTTGTTTTTCTTTCCGTCTCATGTGCTCCTATTTAAATGATCAAACATGTGAGTATTTAATTAAATGGTAAGCAAGTATGTTTGTCCGTACATATATTATCGAGTGTTAATGTGGAAAGACACATTCAAATATGCTTGTGTATCATTCAAAAATACTCATCTAGAAGGTACATTAGCAAAATGAAGCACACTCATCTGTAGTGTTATCATGTTATAAACTATAACAAACAACAAAGCAAGACATATGAATAACATGTGAATAAAGAATTTATATTGATGTGATGCCACAAACAAAGCTGGAATAAGGCAAGCTCCAATTTAGTAACTCCTTGGAGGTTTAAACTTTTAAAAATATATGATGTACACGAACAGGTTAACATTTTGCACTTCACACTTAAGGAGTCTGAACATGATGGATCCAGCCAAACAATCGGACTGTATTGTAGACAACATTATGAATTTTTCGCTCTGGCAAGCACTAATTACCCATATGGAGGATACAAATATCCTTGTTGGTAGCCGAAAGAAACTGGTTGCTGGTGGCCAAAAGTTCCAACGTAAGCCCCGCGGGCAGCTGGGACACTTCCAATATAAGGTGTCGGTGATCTAAGACGTCCTAGAAGCAACAACAACAGATATTGGAACATTAATGCATTTCAGCTTGATTGGAACATTGGGTAATAAGGTTCACATAAACTGTTAGATTGTAGATTATTTTGATACTTAACACAAGAAATCCCTCTTAAAACTGTTAATGTTAGGTAAACAACTGATTTTCACCAACCCATTTGTTATAAACTATTGAAGTGTAATCCAGTTAGAAGTTGCCTACAGGTTGACCAAATGATAAATGCGGTCAATTTGATTGACATTCCAGTCTGATTATAAGAAAATTTTCCAATAAATTTCAACTTAAACCATTGTCGGCATTGAAGCAAAGAATAATTTAGGAAAAATACGAAGAGTGTAGTCATGTTGAGAAGCAAGTATACTATACACAAAGTATGACTCTATTTATTGTGTATTTGTCTTCACAAAAATGACAATCCTACATGGCATAATTAATAAGACAAAATCATTTAAAGATGCTGAAAGGCAAGTGATCCCATAGATAAGTAAGTTGCTTGGACAGAAAACGGAAAGAGAATGAAGGAAAAAAAAAAAAATTGTCATTCTCTTTCCTTGAGGTTTTTAATGCAAAACTGCAACAAGGTTTTTGAACCCCCTTCCACAAGTGCCGGAGCACAAGAAATGCAAGGGAAGTTAGAACGCTTACAAAGACATTAATATTAGTCAATTAACAGAATTGAATTATGATTTTACATAGATAAATCAGATAAGATTTTATTACCAAAAGGCAGAGAAGGCCCAGGGCGTCCGAGCGAAGCCAAATTACAATTTGCTCGCCTGCCATCAATAATTGGAGTTGGATCAGCACAGGCCCTTCTTGCAGACTCAGGGTCACGGAAAGTCACCTAAAACCCTCCATACAAATACCAATAAGAACCAAGTCATTCAACATGAACGATTATACAAAGTTCATTCTTCAAACCAGAAATGCAACCAGAATGGATAGAATTTTAATAAAAAAAATTCAAATTTAATAATAAAAATACTGTTGGGGGATCAATATCACGAAAAACACTCACAAAACCGTAGCCTTTGGATCGGCCGGTGTTCTTATCGGTGATAACGACGGCCTCGAGGATCTCACCGAACTGGTCGAAGTAGCGGTGAAGGGTATCGCTCTGAGTCTCCCAAGCGAGGCCTCCGACGAAGACCTTGGTGTAAGTGGTGTCTCCAAAAGGGGAATTCAAGAATTGGAACCCTGAACTCGAACTCGATCCTGATCCTGAACTCGGACCTGGAATCGGCGGCTGGTGCGCCATGAATATTGAGACTTTTTTTTTTTTTTTTTGCTTGCTTGTATGCTAACAAAAAGAATAAATTTAGATTCGCCCCAACAAACAAAGGAATCAGCGAAGTATCAAATGAACACTTGGCCTGATCTTTCGAGAAAAACCCTATCAAAACCCTAGATTTTTAAAGAAAAGAGAGAGAGAGAGAGAGAGAGAGAATCAAAATGAATTTACATGGGATTTGGAATAACAACAGGGGAGGCTAGTTGTGATTTGAAAGAGAGAGATCGGCGAGCACAGTGATCAAGAGAATAGACATAAGAATCATACTAAGAGAGAGAGAGAGAGAGAGAGAGAAACCCTAGAATTGAGGTGGAAAAAGGACGAGGTCAGAAGAGGAAAGGGCGGTGGTGCGATTGGCTGTACAACAGAACATGCAAGATTATTGTGGGAGAGAAAAAAGGTACTCACTTCCCATTCCCATACAGCAGACAGAGAGAGAAAGAGTGAGAGGAGTAGAATCTTTTTTCAAGGAGAATAGATTAGATTACCAATATACCATATTGGGGGAAGAAGGGGATGCGATTTTTGATTTCTACTTATAAAAGTTCAAGGAGGAGAGTAGCAATTATTGGGGAAGATCCTCGTAATTTTTCCCCCAACAACATAAAAAAGGTTATACGACTCCTCTAGTTTTACAATCATGATAGGAGTACTAATTTTTTAAATTAAGGATTTTTTTGGAATGATTTAAATAAATATTTTTTTTACGAAAAGATGTATAAAAAAATAGAGAAATGATGTAATAAAAAAATAAAAAGATAAAAAAATATATACTTATTTAGAATAGTTAAATTTGAACTAAATATAAAAACGGAGAAGAAGAGAAAATAAATTGAATTTGGAAGTGATGCCTATCCGCAACAAAAAGGTTTTGCTTAGACCGATTGATGTTAAGCCTGTTTTATGTTGTCTTTTACAAGGAGAAACAGTTGTTAAAAACTCTTCTTTTTTTGATTATATAAATTATAATTATTTCATAAATTATAAACAAACATCATATTCTTATGTTGTGTTTGGTTGATAAAATTGAAAATAGATTTGGAAAAAAAAAAAGAAAAAATTAAGTGAAATAAGAATAAAATATACTTATATTTTACCTAATTTTACATACCTTTTTCATTTACATTTTTATATTTCTCTCTAAATCTCTCAACCAAACACAAGAGGTCATTTCCAGCAAAATCCTTATTTTAGTATTTTGCTAAATTGAGAAATTAATTATTCTCCATGCACTCTCCAACAGAGCCCCTAAACACTTTTCTAAATTTTGTTATTATGCCTTCTTATTTATAGAGAGTTATTATAACTCTCCTCAAATATATAATTTTTTTTTACCATGTGCTGTTGCACAACTTTGAATTTTATTTTTTTTAATAAAATTCATAATTAAAAATAATATTTTAATAGAATAGAAAAAAATATAGAATTTGTTGGAGTAAGTAGATGAAAAAATGACTCCATTAAACTAATTTTTTTAATAATATTTTAGAGTAAAAATAGTGTGGAGTAACAATAGGGTGGACTGACGGGGATGCTCTCAATACACAAATTTCAAATTTTTTTAAAAAAAGTTTTATAAATAAATTCTTAAATTGTATCAAATTTGATTAATATAAAGACAAACTTGATTTATAATTTTAATTTTCTTTTTTATAAAATTATTTTTACTACATAAGTGACAGAGAGTTTGTTTAGTATTTTTTCAAATAAGATAGATAAAAGTATACTTATTTAGGTCATATTATTTTTTTATTTTTTTTATATATTTTTTGATAAAAATTAAAAATATATACTTAGATAATTGTAAATAATTCTAGAATTTAAACTTTAAAAAAAAAATAATTCAAGGGAGATGCGGACCAAGGAGGTAAAGTAAATCGGGAACAGTATTAGTAGATTCGTCAACGTCGTCAGATGGAGAGATGAGGGGTTCGTTTGGTTTGTATTTCTGAAAAATTTTTGGAAAATTTTCTCTACAAATAAGTTTTTAAAAGTAATTAAACCAAACAAATTTTTCCAAAAAAATTTCTCAAAACTTGTAAACCAAACAAGTTTTCCAAACAAATCTCTCTCTCACACACATCAAATCAATCACTTTTTCCAAGACTCTCTCTCAAAATAATTTTTCAAAACATCTTTTGAAAAAAACCAAACCAAACAACTTTTCGTACTTTTTATCTCTAAAACACATCTCTCAAACACAAACCAAACATACCCGAGGAGTTTTTTTTTTTTAATATCCTAAAAATAATAATAATTTAAAGAATTCACTCACTTTTTAAATTATTTGAGAAATTAATTTATTTTTTAAAATTATATTTGGAGTTTTTTTTTAATATTCTAAAAAAAAATAATTTAGAGAATTCACTCACTTTTCAAATTATTTAGGAAATTAATTTATTTTTTGAAATCGCATTTCGAAAATACGATTTTGAAATTAAAAATACAATTTCAAAAAGTGAAATTCATGTCATCATAAATTATATTTTCAACATATAATTTCAAGGTAAAATTATATGTTGAAAATGCAATTTCAATTTAAAATTATATTTTCAAAATGTAATTTTAAAAAACAGATTAGTTTTCTAAATAATTTAAAAAGTTGGCCAATTCTCTAAATTAAAATTTTTTAAGAATATTTTAAAAAAAAACTCGGAGATGAGACTTTACTACTATTCCTATTGTTGTTGTACTACATTTAGGCTACCTTTGTTGGATTCTTTAGAGAAAGCGATTAGATTAATAATCCGTGAGACACCTAAAAAGTATTTGATTGAAAACATGAGCGAGGAGATTAACTATTTTTTTGGCCTACTAATCCTCCCATGTGATAGGACTAACAGGGTTAAGATTAGAAATTGAATGAGGAAGTTAGTGAAATTTTAAATAATTTTTAAGTAAAAATTATATTTTTTAGAATAAAAAAATAATTATAATATTAAAAAAATATTAAAATTTAAAAAATAATTATATATATTAATATTATTTATAATATTACTGATTGTACGGGGAGCAAATATTCGATAACGCCCGTACTCTTTTCATCCAAGCTCCGTTTCTATCTGTTTAACCTGCGAACACAACGGCGGTGAGCTACCCGGCAGTGTGTTGCCGGAAAACCCCTCCGACGGTCAAGTTAGCATACACTCAGGGAGAGAGAGAAGAGCTCAATGACTATTAGGTTTTTTCTCACCAAATGATGTTTCATCCTCAGCATGGGGGGCGCAGTCATGCTTATATATTTTCTGTGTTCACCTCTGCACCCACTCGTCTATTGACACGTGGAGTTGCTCTCCCATCTGTCAGCGCAAATCCAGCTAAACACCACCTAATCAAACTGCCAAACAACATTAGCGGGAATGGGTCAGCCCGGCGACATCACCTCGGCCTCCTATGACCGTGCTACGTAACGAGTTCGACGGCGCCACTCGCCGAGCTCCATCACAACCGAGCTGTCACGACCCAAACCCGCCCCCATAGGTTTAGCTTCGTAACCGGCCAGTAATCCGTGGATCACCAAAGGCCCTAAACAGATTAGCAAAAAGTAAGGGGCTGCGGAAGCAATTATATAGAATAGACAAGGTCTAATGAGCTGTGATAACGTACATGGGACAGAAGATTTCAAAACTTATATATATACATAAGCATGCTAGTCAAAGGATACCAATATTTACAAATATCTACAGAAGTGTGCTTTCTAAGACCTGACTTTACAAACAGTCACAGAGACTAGCATAAGTACAAAAACAGCCATGCAACTATACTGTGATCGGAACCTCCTCGGGAGGCACAACGGTTGGCTGACAAAAATAGAATTGAAGCCCGTCAACTCTGGCCCTGGTCACATGCCGGCTCACCTACATACATAATATAAACTGTGAGCGAAGGCCTAGTGAACAATAACAGAGTAAAGGGGTTGCAATGAATGAGTCTGTACAGGTTCAGAAAATCATAATTTAGTTTTGTATCAAATTCATAGTTTGCCCAGATCATATACAGAAATCATGAGTCATGCTTACATTTATGTGATACATCCATTAGCATTAACAGAGCAGATACAAAACAGATACAGGCACGTGAGAGTTACGAATAACCAGTTCCATAAAGGAACCTTCGGATTCGGGTAACAGAGAACAAATACGCTGAGCCCTGGTGAGGGAGCCTCCGGTACAGGTAACAGAGTGCAGATAGATTAAGTTCCATAAAGGAACCTCCGATATTGGGTAACAGCCAACATATATCATATGATGCTAAGGATGTCACGAATACATATAAGAAATTGGACAATCATTCATTGTACAGAACATATCATTTCGGAAAATAGATCTTATTTTATTACACAGAAAACAACCCTTAATCCTCACTATGGAGTCTTAAACATGGCCTAGGAATGCCTAGGATGGAATGAGGATGCAAAAATGTCTTGGAAAACAATTTTCAAAACTTGCTGAAAATAGGGGTCTCGCTCGAGCGTAGCTTTCTTCGCTCGAGCGAGCTTACCAAAACAGAGGGGTTGCTCGAGCGTAAACTCCTTCGCTCGAGCGGTCTGTAAAAATGCAAAAGCACTGGTTGTTGAAAAACCCTGCTCGATGCTCGCTCGAGCGTGAGACACAGCTCTTCGAGCGAGCGTGTATCTGTGTGCACCAAAAACCTGAGAGCTTGCAATCTATGCTCGAGCGGAGCTCTGAACAAAAGGTGGTCGCTCGAGCGAGGAAGCCAAAATCTAGAATTTCTAGATTTGCCTTCAAAGCTCCAACCAAAAATTCAACACACCAAAACTCAACCTTTTGGGCCAATTTTCTGGAAAACACTTGAAAACCAACAACATAATATGTTTTGAAGATCATTTGTAAAATCAAGTCCAAAGGTGAAACAATTGAACACCAAATCCAAAGAAGCTTCAAGAATAATGAAAGAACTTAACATGCAAGTGTTCATTAGAAATCTAATGCTCTAAAACATGACCAAATGTAAGATTTGAGCTCAAAACATGGTGAATTCATGGACTATAACCCAAATATGGAAATGCATGTGGGGAATTCATGAAAACATCTTCAAAACTCAATAATGTGCACATGCATGCATGAATTACTTCTCAATTCAACATTTAAACCAATTCTTGACTTTAATCTTCAATTTTACCATGGACTATGCAAGGTATAACTTAAATTCACAATCAAGAAGATGATTTTCCTACCTTGGGTCTTCAATTCCAAGTATGGAGGCTCAATTATGCAATTCTTCTATAATTCCTCAAATTTCCAAGCAAAATCTTGTTGAAACTAAGTTTTTCCCTATCTCCTACTCTCTCTCTTCCACGGTTTGGTCTCTCAATGGATGATGAAAAGATGCAACAAATGTATGAATCAGTGTCAAGGTTGCCTTAGGTAATGGGCCACTCAATGGCAATTTGATAATAAACTTAACTAATGTAATTTAACGTTATTTAATATAATTTAATCATACCAAATCAAATTTTAATTAAACTTACTATAAAATCACATATATTCTTACTAGTATAAAACACTAATCAATTTCTAAATCGGTTGCCGATAAGGCTTTTCATTCGGACTCATCATTGGGTCCAGTGGA